GGCCGCTGCGCTCGCAGGGCGCTGCGGGAATCCGCGGGCAGCCGCCGCCTCCGCGCCCCTTTGGCGCGCCCGGCCCCGCTGTGAAGATGCGGGGAGGAGGGCGCGCACCGTCTCCCCCCTTTGCTCCCCCTGCCAGGGCCGCCCCCGCCGCCGCTCGGCCTCCTGGCGCGCCGGCCCTGGCGTCTTCCTAGAGCGCCCTCTAAGTCCCGGGCTGGACGAAGAGGGGGCGCGCTACCGATTTAGGGACCCTGAGCCCGGGGTCAAAGGGCAGTTTAGCGTCCCCTTCTCCTGCGGGGCGCGGGGAGTGGCGGGATTCCAGCTAAGCCCGGTTTTACAAGGACTCCAGGCCAGAGCCCGATCAGCCTAGGGCGCTGGGGTGCGAAATTCCCTTTCTAACTCCCTTGGGGTGTGTGGGTGGGTGACCGAAGTTGGGAACACCAGCGACACTTTTTTTTTTAAACAAAACTTTATTGGTAATAGTTTTCAAATATGTTTACAACAGCACACTGTTCAAGAGGAAGTCTCGTTCTTCGCAGCACACAGGTTGAATGGCCCCCGCTCCCACCCGGGGCCCCACCCCAGGCCTGAGAGTTCCTCCTGGGATGGGGAGAAGTTATGAGAGGGACAAATATCGGGATGAATGGGGTGGCTCCCCACTTTTCGATTAAGAGAAAAAAGCACAAATCAGACAGGAGGCGGGGGAAGAGGTGATGGACAGCTGACAGCTAAGCTGGGGGGCGGCGCCCAGGATGGAGGGCGCGGAAGCTGCTGGATGAATAGAACAGGCAGCCCCTCCCCAGCAACCCTGGCCTTGAACCCTGGGCAGTGGGGTGGGGTGGGGTGGGGTGACTTTGCCTCTTCCCTGTCCTTTTGCAGGGTTGCCTTCCCAACTGAGCTGAGAGGAGGCTGGGCATTAAAATCTAGCTGAGAATAAAATTAAGGAGTTTGGAGGAATGCTGCTGGGAAGAAAGACCCTGGGCTTGGGGCTCCCGCTCTATCTTTTGCGGGGGCGAGGGGGGATGACTCCTCTTTGGCAGGGAGAGGGGCAGCTGTTTTGTCTGGCTCCCAAAGCCCAAGGATGAAGAAAGGTCTGTTGGGGGAAGAAGAGAGAAGGGGCTTCCTAAAGGGGCTGAGACCGTTGCAGGATTGGCAGAGGACGCCCCCTGGAGGGGGGCAGGGGAGATTAGCAGCTCAGGGCAGTAGGTTCAAACTCCAGCTCCTTCCTTTACAAAGTCAGTCTGCTTCCCAGCCTTGTTAAAATGGATTTGGGGAGTGGGGGTACATGACAGGGGTGGGAGAGGAGGAAAGAGGGAGGGAGGCACTGGTGGAACTTAAATAAGATTTTAAATTGTTTTTTAAAAAATTCTAGCAAGCAGCCTGCTGAACATGTCACTAAAATCTCTCCTTCCCAGGCAGGATTGCTCTGAAGGGAAGGCTGGCTTTTCATTCATTCGCCCTTAGTGAGCGGTGCCTGTGGTTTGGTGGGGGTGGGGGCTGGAGTTAAGTTTGGGCCCCTCTTTCCACACCCTGTCCCTGGATACACCAGTAAGACCTGGTATGACTGGAGCTGAGAAACTTGTTTAAAAGAGGCAGAAGTGGGCTGGGGCAGGGGAGTCATGGGGGAGGAGGAAAGGAAAAGTGGAGAAGGGGCAGGAGGGTGAAGGGGATGAGGGGGAGCAGCTGGTGTTTCTGTCCCTCCAAATATCTGGGCTTCCTGCTCCTCCTATCCTGGAGGGTGGAGTGGGGGTGAAATTAGATGCAAGGAACTCTGGGGCCCTCTGGCTGTTCAATCCAACCCTCCCCCCCACCAAAAAAGAAAAGAAAAGAAAACCCATGGGGGCACAGGCACACCCCTAAAACTCAGAAAACTCCTTGCCACACTTCTCATTGATGGAGACCCGGATCTCTTCCTCCTCATAGTCGTCAAAGTTACTTGTGTCCCCAGGGCCTTTAAACTTTGGTATGAAGGGAGCTTCCACCTGGAGAAGGATCAAGAACCACCCAGACCTCAGCAGTCAACATAATCATCATTAAAACAATAAATACAAATGGCCTAACATTCATGAGATATTTACTCTGACCCAGGCCTGCACTTAGTATTAAGGTACAGACTCCTCGTAACAACCTAAGACTCTTATTATAGCCAACTCGCCAAAGGGAAAATTACTTCCCAGAGAGGGGCATCTCCTGTTCAAGGTCACAGAGTGGCCAAATGACCCCAGAATCTTATTTCTAAACCCCCATTGGCTCTAAGTTGCTTACTCCAGGTTGACCCTGAGCCTGTAGCCTATTTGCGAGTTCCTCTTCCCTTTCCATCTGTCCGCTGGCAGCCCTCCCTGACTCTTGGCCTCCCCCCAAAACCCTCAGCATGCCCAGTCAGGGGAAGCCCACCTTCCTCTGGTAGATGGCAATCCAGTCAGTTGTGGCAAACCACTTGTGGTTCTTGATATCGTTGACCCCATTCTTGAGGTTCCCGAAGCGCTTGGTGAGATCCACCTGTAGAAGGTTCCGCAGCAGGTCCTTCAAGTCAGAGCTGAAGTGGGACGGGAACCGCACCTGCGCAAGGGGTACACAGACAGGGTGGGGAGCTAGTCTGGAGCTTGGAAAGCCCAGAATGCTGCCTTTCCCAACCAACAGTCTTATGGGGCAGAGGCCCCCAAACTTGAATGCCTGTTGGAATCCCGTTAAAACAGCTCAGTGAGGCCTCTCTGGAGTTTCTGATTTGGGAGGTCTGAGTGGGGCCTGTGAACCTGCATTTCTAACAAGTTCACCTGTGATGCTGCTGCTGCTAGAAAAGGGACTCCTTTGAGAACCAGTGCCCTAAGGTGGGTATTATGACGGTTCCCATTTCAGAGAAGAAACTGAGGTTCAGAAGGGTTAGACAGCTCCCCCAATGTCACACTGAGGAGCAAGACAAGAGCAATTCCATCTCAGGTCTGTTGGGTTCCAGAATTTGCATTCTTAGTTGCTGCTTCTTAAGGAAGCTCTGCTGGAGTCTGGGGACTTTTGAAATATTCATGCTCATGAGAGAAACTTTTTTATCCTTCTCTCTCTCCCTGCATCACTAAGGCTCTTCCATTCTTTAAGGCCCAGCTCAACTCTTCCAAGAACTTTCCCCCAATGCTCTGAGCTCTCAGACTTATATGCAAGTAGTCACTGAATTCACAGTTGGAAGAACCAACTTTTAGTCCCTGTTCTGCCTCTTGCATGCTGCGTGACCTTGGCCACAGCCCTTAACCCCTCTGGGCCTGCGCCTGCCTCTCTGACATGGGGCAGATATACTAGGGTTGTGCAAGGGAGATAATACCACTGAGGGTGTGTGGGAACTTTAAAATGATACAAAGAAGGGAGTTATGCTCATACGCTTTTCTCCTTGGAATCCTGTATGGCTTATTTCTTTTTTTGTTTCACTCTGGGCCGTTTTCTTTCCTTTTTTTAAAAGATAACTGGTAAGGGGATCTTAACCCTTGACTTGGTGTTATCAGCACCATGCTCTCCCAAGTGAGCTAACTGGCCATCTCTATATAGGGATCCGAACCCATGGCCTTGGTGTTATCAGCACCACACTCTTCCAAGTGAGCCACGGGCCGGCCCTTGGGCCATTTTCTTGGCAATTTCTATTTTGCCTGGTGGCAGGCGCCTCATATTTCCCTTGTAGTGATGCTGTGTCCTGCCCAAATCACCCCACTTTGCAGCTGGTGACTTCTTCCTCCATCCTCCTGGAGAAGCAGATCTCTAGCTCCCCAGTTCCCAGATGAGTGAGATGAGGCTCAGAGGGGCTAAGTGACTTGCCCAAAGTCCCAAAGATAATAGGTGTCAGAGCTGGGACTTGGAGCCAGGTTGGCCCAGCAGAGGCTGAGCTTGAGGCTGTTCCCACTATTTTGTGGTGACTCTGGGCCAACTAGCAGCATGCCTGTTTAAGACACTGAGCCAGGTGGAGGGATGGTTGGGTCCTCCTGGGATGGTGGGAGAGCTGAGGGCAGAGGAGGGGTCTCCAACCTCTCTTGGACCCTTGGCGTCTATGATGATGCCTCCACTTGCTCCAGTGGGATCTGAGGCCACACATGTCCCTTTTGAGCCCCAGTTTCCTCACCTCTCCCATTGAGGAGCCACTCTCTGAGTATGATCAAGGGGGTGAGTCTGGGGCCTGGTGGAGGGTGACCACGTAACGCACCTCATAGATGCAAGCTCTAAGGGTTCCGCCACCCTTACCCGAACCCTTGGAGTCAGCACAGTCTGTGTTTGAGAGAGGAAGCATGGACTGCAAACTCTAAGTGACAGGACCCCCCCCTGGCGGGGTCAGGAGTGGCATCTGGGAACCAAACACATTCGTTTTTCTGCCTTGAAACTTGTGAAAAGTTATGCTAAGGGGCACAACAAAAGGTGAGAAAAGCCTCATGTTCTGTTGTCAAGAGCATGTGTTCTGTGGTCAAGGAATTCAGATGAAGCTTGGGATGTTGGCATTGTGGGTCAGAGGCTAGATACGTGGAGACCTGGGGGCCTCAGTGTGGCTGGTGTAGCTGGTGTGGCCAGCTTCAGCACCTGGCCCGACTTAATGAACTTCTAGATTATTCTGAGAACAAGCAGGGCTCCACAGTGAGTGGGATGGATGAGCTCGGAAGCCCTGTCTGTCTCTTCCAGGCCTGAGCCTCCACATCCAGGCCTCACCTTCCCAGAGACGATCTTCTCGTAGATCTGGATGGGCTGGTCAGCAAAGAAGGGTGGGTAGCCAGCAGCCATCTCATAGATGAGAACACCCAGGGCCCACCAGTCCACAGCCTTGTTGTAGCCCTGGAGTGAGATGGGGGAGGCACGGAATAAGGGGACAGGAAGGATGAGGAGGGGGTGGGGACATAGGAGAGGCTCAGGATGGGGAAGTGCCTACTTTGCTCAGGATAATCTCGGGGGCCAGGTACTCAGGGGTCCCACACAAGGTCCAGGTGCGGCCCTTCACACGCTTGGCAAAACCGAAGTCTGTCACCTGCAGGCACAAGAATGGGCAGTTGGCCAGGAGGGAGGGTCCAGGCTGCGGCTGCCTGGGGCTGCCCCTCGCCCGGCCCAGTGGGCACCTGAATGTAGCCCTGCTGGTCAATGAGGAGGTTCTCCGGCTTCAGGTCCCGGTAGATCAGATCAAGCGAGTGCAGGTACTCGAACGTCAGGACGATCTGGGCCGCGTAGAAACGGGCATGGGGCTCACTGGCGGGGACAAGCAGGGAGGGGATGGGTGAATGAGCACCGCTGGCCACACCCCAAAATGGTCCAGCAGGTGGGCCTGCAGGGCCACTCTCACAGGAGGACACCCCTGGTCCTCTATGCAAAATGCAGAAGCAGGGGCTGGCCGGTTAGCTCAGTTGGTTAGAGCATGGTGTTATAACACCAAGGTCAAGAGTTCGGATCCCTGTACTGGCCAGCTGCCAAAAAAACCCAAAATGCAGAAGCAGGGCAGCCTTATTCATTGATACCCTGAAACTGGAAACAGCCCAGATGTCCATCAAAAGAAGAATGGGATCACAGATTGTGATATATTCACACAATGGACAACTACCCAACACCACCACCACCAACAGGATGAACTATGAACATAATCAACAACATGGCTGGATTGCAAACTGATTATGTTAAGCAAAAGAAGGAAGACATGAAAGAATAGGAACTGTATGATTTCATGTCTGTCAAGTCCAAACCCAGACAAAACAAATTCATGGTATTTGAAGCCAGAAAGGCCAATTGCCTTTGTTGGGGAGGTGATTTGTCAAGAAAAGGACTGGAGGGAATTTTCTGGGGTGATGGAAATGTTCCTTGTAGTGTTTTGGGTGGAGGTTACATAGGTGTATACAATTGTCAAAACTCATGAAACGGAACATTGAAGATGTGTGCATTTTATTCTATGTAAATTGTATCTACTTATCAATCTATATCTAGATAAAATATAACTACAGTATAAATATTAAAAATGCGTAAAATCACCACTTAAATTTTGACACCTAAGACACCACGTTTGGTTGGTTTGTTTTGTTTTGTGGTGATTAAAATGTTGCAGATTCCTCAGCACAGCAGAAACAAAAACCCACAGGGACCCAGAGAGACCATTCCCACGTGGGCTCCTCTGTGTCTCCACATGGTTTGGTCGTGCAGTGTGGCCTGCAGGCACCCCCAAGAGCCTGCTTACCTGAACCTTCCGATCCGCCGTAGGTGCGAGAACATCTCCCCGCCAGGCACATACTCCATGACCATGTATAAGTTTGAGTTGTCCTGTGGGAAGCAGCGGCTGATCAGGGCCCCACTCTCCAAGCCCTTGGCCCCATCTGAAGGTGCCAGTGGCTTCGCCCAATAGGTGTACAGAAATAAAATGACAACATCAATCCTGGCTCCCCATATGAAGCTTGTTCCAATGGCCAGGCGCCATGCTGGCTGACTACACGTGGCATTTCATTGGCGAGGAGGAAGGGATGGCAGTTATCCTGCCATTAGAGGGGGCAAAAGTGAGGGCCGGCTTAGAGGTGTGGAGGGAGCTGGCCAGTGTGCCCCGGCTGGAGAGAGGACTCTGCGGCAGCTTGTGTCTGTGAGCGTGAGGCTTTCAAGGCCACAGTTTTGTCATCTGTAAGATGGGACCAGGATGTGCGGCTGGCCCTGAGTGGCTTGTCCCAGCTCTGGCAGCCACAGCTTCGGATGGCACCCAAAATAGCTCACAAAGGGCGCTCATGATGTGCTGGGAACCATCAGACCAACCCTACCAGACAGGGACTGTTATGATTCCCATTTCACATATGAGAAAACTGAGGCTCAGGGAGAAGAAGGCCTTCAGCCAGGGTCACACATCCAGGAGTACAGGGCTGGAAATTGGGCCCCGGCTGCCTGGTGGCAGAATGTGTACTCCTGGCTGTGTGTGGGGCTCTTGCTGCAAACAGGGTGGTGATTTTGAGGGATGTTTTTGAGGTTGGGTGACTTGCCCAAGGTTATTGAGCTAGAAATTGGCTGGCCCAGGAGCTGAACTTGCATCTGACTCCTGTCCCCCTGCATCCCTTCTCTAGGGATCTCTTCCTTCCCTGGAAGTGGGTAGCTATTGGTTATCTTCAACCCCAAACCCAGCCCAGGGAACTGAGAGGCTGCACCCGACCCCAGATGCCGGGACTCCACCTTGAAGGAGAACTCAAGTTTGACGAGGAACGGGAAGTTGACTGCTTGCAGGATGCGCTTTTCATTCAGGGTGTGCTCGATCTGTTTCAGCTTCACCACCTATGGGGGTGCAAGGGCAGGACAGAGAGAAGGGGCCGTGAGAGGGGCCTCATTTCCCCTGATGCCTGGAACTAGGGGTGCCAGGGTGGGGCTGGTTCCATTAGCCAGAATCATTTGAATGCCTGTGGCCTGAGGGGCCCTGGGCTGGGTGTGAGGCCACAGTGAGGAGAAGGCCAGAGGCTGTTTGTCGCCACATGGCATGCAGTCCAGGGCAAAGAATACATGAGTCACCAGGCCTCACAGCTTAGAGGGGTCAGGATGCCATGAGGGAAGCTCAGGGCCTGTGGATGTCCAGGGAAGGCACCTGGGGCAGTCTGGGGAAAGGTGGAATCAGAGAAAGCTTCCTGGAGGAAGAGGCAGCTGAGCTGAAACTGAAAAGACAGGTAGGAGTAGCTCAAGGGGTGGGGGTTTAGAAATTGCCTTCTCTTTGCTTTTTTTTTTTTTTCCTTGGTGGCTGGCGGGTTGGGGATCCACACCCTTGACCTTGGTGTTATCAGCACTGTGCTCTAACCAAGTGAGCTAACCAGCCAAGATTGCCTTCCTTTTGTCTAGAATACTTCCACACACCAACCTGGACCTCAGGCTAATTCCTCCTTAGCCTTCAGATGTCGCCTAACAGCACACACCACGATCAGGCACCTACACAGTCTATTGTTTAATTGTGAAAGAAGCCTTGAGGGGGGCACAGTGGGAGCACATCAGATTGGAAGCCCAGACACAGAGTGGGGATGTGACTTGCCCAAGGTGACAACAGCTGGCCAGTGTCAGGCCCCTCAGTCGGCTCTAAACTGCTGCACCGGGCTTTTCTGCTGACACAGCTGTATCCTTAGGGCTATACCTGCACCATCCAGGACTGTCACCACTAGCCATCATGGCTGTTGAGCCCTTGATATGTGGCCAGTTGACTGGGGAACCAAATTTAAAATTTTACATATCTAAAATGAAAATTTAAAAACTGACACTCAGTGTAGGTACTGGACAACTTTTAAGCATATTTGGAACAACTCAGGTTTGTGAATCTGCTTTTCCAACTTCTCTACTTGTTTTCATCTTTTCAGGGAAAATTTACCATCTGAATGGAGAACTGTTGTACATGCAAAATACAAACTGGTTTTGAAGACACTTTAGTACGAAAAAATTGTCAAATGTTGCAATAATATTTTTACGTTGATAATGTGGAAATGATAATACTGTAGGTATGCTGGCATAATTAGGAAATATGGATAAAATGAATTTCACCTGTTTCTTCGACTTTTTTTCATGCAGCTACTAGAAAATTTAAAACCTTGTATGTGGCTTGGGTTACATGTCTGTTGGATAGTGCGGTTCTATAGCAGTGCCTGCCATAAAGTAGGGAATCAAAAATATTTATGGGAAGAATGTCCAGGTAAAAACCGCTTCCCCCAGGAAGACTTCTGGCCACCTCCATACAGGCTGGTGCCTGGCCCTGTGTCACAGAGTCTGGCTTTGATGGCAGGCCTGGAGGGAAGGCCTTGGGAAGGCAGCTCAGGGCCCCTCTAGCCCTCTGGTCTGGCACATGAGGGGGCTCAGGGAATAGCTGGTGAGTGGGTGAATGAATGGGCGGAAGCACACTTCACACTTCAAGCGGTAGGCACAGCCCAGGCAAAGGCCTGGCCGGTGGGACTGGAGCCGCGTGCAGGGCTGGCTCACCTTCTGTTTGTCGAGGATTTTCATGGCATAGTGGTTCCCGGTCTCCTTGTGCTTCACCAGCATCACCCGCCCAAAGGAGCCTGTGCCGAGAGTCTTGATTCGTTCAAACTGATCCAAATGGGCTGTATTCTATGGGTGGAGGAGTGGGAAGAGTCAGGGATGCCCTCTTCCTGCGGCTTGCTGGGCCAAAATCTGGGGTGTTCCCTCTGCCACCGGCAGAGGGGGCCCTGGGGACCAGGTGGAGTGAGGGGGGTGAGGACAAGGGGTGGGAAATAAGATGGCGGAGGGTGCATTCCTCAAGGCGGTGGCAGGGGCCAGATCCGGCCCTGGCCTGGGGCCTGGGAGCTGCTGGCAGCTGCATTGCGGGCAGGGGCCACCAGTTGGAAGGGGAGGTGTGGTGGTGGAACGCGGCAGTGGACAATCAGTTGCCTCTGCCCAGGAACCCCATTGGGCATCCAGGGAGTGAATGGGGACAAGTCTGGAGCCCTCCACAGGGTCCTGAATTTCTGGCTGTGTCATAGGGATGCAGTCAGGGGGCCGGGGCCGTCAGCTCACCCCTCCCATGACTCTGCATCCAGAGAGCTTACCTGAGCAGGACTTTCCCATTTTTTAAGAAAATCTTCTTTGGCTTTGGCTAAGAACTCTTTCACTGAAAGGAAGAGAGGGGAAGGTCAGATGGAGACCCCGTCTCATCAGAATGGGCTCAGGTCATTTCTGGGGAGATGCCCATTTGTGGAAAGTGGGGTACAGTTGCCTCCTCCCAGAGCTTGAACTTTTCCTAGTGCCTTTGGGTGCCCCGGCTAAGCCTGAAGGCAGCTTGGAGGATGCTGATCTAGGCTGGGGCCTGGGTCCCCCCTTATTACAGAGAGGTGGGATCCAGTCTCTACTCCATCCAACATGGGGTATGGGGAGACTCAGGGGTTACTCCCAGGTGGGACAGAGAGAGGCACCCAGGCCAGCCCACCCCCCACTCGCCCCAGTTCTGACCGACATTCCACGGCCAGGGAGGACGCCAGCCGAGGTATTTATAGCTCGGGATTTGGCTGCTCCTCTGGCCCCTTCTCTGGGGAGGCTGAGCCCCGGGTGGAGGCCTCTGGGGCTCGGGTAGCAGGCGCCCTTGGGGGGCTCAGCTGTTGCCTTGGTCCCCAGCTGGCTCTGTTCCTGCTTTTGCCAATTGCAGGGCCCTCACTCAGGCGCTGGTTCAAAGGCAGCCTCGCCCAGTGCTCACTCCCCAACGGGCCCTGCAGCACTCTGGGATGAACATCACCATCCAGCTAGCACCGATGACTTCCCTGGCAGACTGTGGGCTAATCACTTCAGCTACACTGTCTCATTTGACTCACTCGCCCACCTTCCTTTTATCCATTCTTCCCATTTAATAGCCCAGGAAACTAAGGCTTGAAAACGGTCATTCTCATTTATGCTGAGAAGTGGCCTGGTAAAGTGGCTAAGGGCCAGGACTCTGGGACGAGACTGAGTTCAGATTCTAGCCTGGTCTCTCATGAGCTGTGTGACTTTAGGCAACTGACCTCACCTCTCTGGGCCTCGGTTTTCCTCATCTGTACAATGGGGCTAATAAAGAGCAATGATCTCATGGACTGAAGGATTGAATGAGTTCATCTTGGCCAAAGGGGCTGGACCACGGTCTGCACAGGGATAGTGCCATATAAATGTCAGCTATTAATTTTACTTTTAAGTATCTTTTTAAATGGAGGTATCAAATACAGGGGGTGCACTGAGAGCCCAAATCATAGATGTGCAGCCTGACAGATTCTCCTATTTCAGACTCGCCCTTGTAACCACCACCTAGGGCCAGGCACTGCTTTCTGAGTGCCAGCCCTGCACTGTTTCCTGTGCTTAATTCTGACTCGGCCAGGCAGGGCTGCTATTATTCCCATTGTACAGATGAGAAGACTGATTAGATCTGAGGTCACCTGCCTAACCACACAGTCCATAATTAACTGCTTTACTACTGACTCAGTGGTTGGTTTTGGCACTGGTCTCAGCACACCACGGTGGCCCAGGGACAGAACTGTCTTCAACCCCCTGATGTTCCTGGGACAGGGGCCCTAAACACCTGCACTATGGCCTTGCCTGTCATCTGTCTGCCAGGAATCCCACATGGCCTTGTGATTGACTACCATGTCCCTACTGACCCAAGCCTCTTCCTCGGAGTTCAGACAGAAGAGCCGTCTGTGTGGCTAGAAGAGTGGGGGATGGAGGAAAGACTGCTGGCTTTCCCTGCAAAAAGTGATGAGGCCAAGAGGTGGCAGGCAATGAATGGCCAGGAGTCCTAAGTTGATACCTGGATAGGCCACTAACTGGCTGAGAGACCTCTCTGAGCCTGGGGGCCACACCCCATTCAACAATTTCTTTTTTTTTTTTTTCCTTTTTGTCTTTTTTCGTGACCGGCAACGGATCGCAACCCTCAGTGTTGCGCCCGTACCGGACCGGGACCGGCAACGGGATCGCAACCCTCAGTGTTGCACCCGCACCTCGCTCAGCCAGTGAGTGGCCGGTCTGTATGTGGGATCCGAACCCTCGGCGGGAGCGCCACTGCGCTTCCCAAGTGGCGCACTGTAGCAGTGCGCCACCGGGCCGGCCCAGCATTCAACAATTTCACTAGCAGAACCTTTTTGACACACACCTTCCTTGGAAACCTACAAACAATCCACACCAAATTCTGGATTGGGGTTGGAGGGCACCCTCTTGGGACTCTACCTTCACCCACACAAGAAGGCAGAGAGGAGCAGGGCTTGGGAGAAATCCAAGAGAAGGCCTGGTCCTGCTTTTCCCTTGCTCTCAGCCATCCCTGAGAACTGTTGAGGCCTGTGCTCCCCTGACTTGGTGGGCACCGTGCTTCTTGCTGTCTGCTGGTGCCCTACCGAGTGGGTCCACAGGGGTGCTGGCACAGTCCTTTTCTGGCCTCTCAAAGTGCAGGAGGGCCCAGGCTGTGTCACCTCTGGGGCCACTGTGGCCCTGTTGGCTTGCCAGATTTAGGGATAGGCTGGAGGCGGGGGGTGTAGTGCCAGGAGGAGCAGACAGATTAAAAGGAACAATGTGGAGGGTTGGGGGAAACATCAGTCAGGAACCCCCAAACTCACCTCTGTTTCCTGCCTCTTCCAGCAGAGGGTAGAATTGGGGGTGGGTGGGATGGGGAGATCTGGGGCCCATCTGCCCCTGGCCAGGGAGGCTCAGGGTGCTGGCTGTGGCTTAGGCCCCCAGAAGGTATGGCGCAGGTAGCCCAGGAAACGGACAGCCAGGTGAGCCCAGAGGAACAGCTGCAGCCACAGCTGGAAGGTAATCTCTGAGTCCCCACCCTGGCTGCTGCCTGACCCCAGATCCATCCCAGGCTGCCCTGGGATCTCCCTGGAAATCTTCCCTTTGCTGGAGAACCAGGAAAACACAGAGCCTCTAAGCCCGCTTCCTCGGGAAGGCCTGGGGGGGGGGGGGGGCCGGGGGGGGGGGGGGGGGGGGGGGGGGGGGGGGGGGGGGGGGGGG